GTTGTTGATCTTAAGGAAAACCTTCAGTTTCCCTGTGAACATGGATATATTTCAAACAGAAATAGGACTACATCAAGTCCTGCAGGTCATGCAGAGGGGATCGGAGATCAGCACAGGCCTTTCTGTTTGAGAGAACAGCCAGGAGCACTGAGATGCTGCTGGTGAAGATGAAGAGATGCTGGGGTGAGGGCAAGGTAGGAAAGCAGCTTGGTTATCTACAAGTTGCAGGGAAACATGTGTAGGACTGGGAATATGCAGAGTAATCTGAAGAGGACACAGCGGAGGGCACTGCCATGGCTGAAGACCTCCAAAAGAACTTTATCCTCTTGGCCATGGCTGGTGCCCTCTCAYTGAGGCCAAAGAGAATAAACTTCATGCAGCCAAAGGRACCTCCTTGCCTGCTTTCCCTCAAGGACACAAGGTATCTTGTATCAGTGTCCTGCCCTGGGACACTGCCACCACTAAGAGCCCAGGGCAAAGCCGGTGGAAAGGATCCCCCCCATCCAGGGACTGGGCACCTGTGCTTGGCCATCTGCTTGATAACACACATGAAGGGTTAACTTGGCATCAGAGGCACCTGCACGTTGCCTTTGCCTCCCTGTGGTCAGAGCATCCAGCTTTCTGCTCTAAACAGCTCCTAGGAAGGCTTTGCTTGGGAAGGAATCACAGCRGGACTCATTAACCCTCCAAGAAACTTGGGATTTGCTTCTGACTTTAACTTCTTAGTTAGGGAAGAGAAGTTCCTTCAGCCTCCTGTGAGCTTTGGAGGTACTTGGCTTCAGCACCAAATACAGTTGAGTAGTCAATACAAAGCAAAAAGGCCTCAGGAGCCAGGCCTTTTGCCATAATTCTCTTCAGTTTCATCAACTTGTGTGACTAATTGGAAAGGAGTGTACTGCAGCTAGGCAGCTTTCACAGAAGACCTGAGAAACAGAGGTCACTGCTTTTAAAATTTCCTTTATTCTTGCTTTCATTTYAGAAGAAGGCATGCTCAGATTCTCTACTTCTAGAGTGTTTCGCAGTCAAGCCTGGACATGTAGCCCTGTTTTTGAGGGGACACCTGTATGTAGAACCTTCCCACCCAGCTCCAAGGCCCTGCCAGGTCCCTCATCAGCAACTGGGGACTCTGCTTAAAATGGAGCTTTTTTCCACTCCAGGCAGTAACTGAATGTTACAGCTCATGTGCACCAATTCCCACCTGAACTAGGTGCAAAGAAACACAGAAGGAGATGTCTTAARTTTCAAACAAAGAGACAGTTTTGATTGTGTCTCCCAAAAGATAAAATGCACTCCCYAACTGTTGTCAAATCAAAGTTGCCTTCAGTGAGATCCACAGTTTACAAGGAACCACCTTCCTTTAYGTATTTTGACACTGAGATGCTAGGCCCTTGGTATAACCACTTTCACCGTCACCAGTGTTTTCTCTGGGCCACAGCAGAGGCTGAGCAACTGAAACATGGCCAATGCATAAAGCCTGGGGCAGGGAGAGCAGATGAAGGTGCACATCTGATGGAGGCATTATTGCTAGAATAGATGCGATGTGATGGAATCTGCCTCATGATTCTACAGCCCCAGTGGCAGGGTATGAAATATTCAGGAGAGAGCGGAGGAAGATGAGACAGGGGCTGCCCTTGGTGGAAACAGGSAGCTCAGATGTGTGGAGCTCTTTGACCATGAGGGCTAGGGCTTGAGTGCGAGCTCATAGAGGACATGGGTGAGACCACAATGGCAGTTYCCAAGCCCGCAAGCAGGGTGAGGAGGTGGGTACAGCCTCCTTTAAGCAATGTGAACAAGTCTGTGGCTCCAAGGGCACCCCATGTGAACACATCCTCCCTGCGATGGCTCCCACCTTGTGGGGATAGATGTTCTACAGGACTGTCTTGCTCCTGCACTGAGGTCCCAGGAGCCATGACGGGGCCTAGGAGGCGGCAGTGCCCTGGTCCACAGCCCATGTCAGCACCTTCACCTCCCAAACCACAGGAGGACTCAGCTCCATCCTCCCTGCAGTCCTCCAAGCGACCAACTCCTCCCCAAGAGAGTGAGGGGAGCCTGAGACCTCCCTGTCCACCAAGAGGGCCTGTCCTTCATGGGCTCCCATAAACAGGGCCAGCTGCTTGTTCGCAAGTACCTGTCTCAAGAATAATTCTCTGCAGGGCAAAGCTCAGTTGGCAGGGCCACAGGCAGTGCAGTGCCAGGATCATGGCACCAGGCCTCTTCTTCCAACATTTCCTTCAAGAATTGGCTTGGGAGGAGCAGGAATGGCCAAGCCCCATGTGCGTCCTTGCAGCCAGCTGYAGGGAGCAGCTTGGGGACGTGGTTGAGTTCAGTAAGGAGAAATGGTGGGTGCAGCAGCAGAGCTGGCCGTCACTGGGGCTGGTGGGGCAGGGCTGGGAGGGCTCCTGACAGTTTCCCTTCTCCCAAGCAGAACATGGGGGCTTCCACCTGTGCCCATTCCTGCACCCGCACAYGGCTCCGYRGCTCCACTGTGCAGACAGCACCCWGGGCWGGGTGTTCAGCACTGGGGAATGTCCTTCTGAAATGGTCCCATGACAGCCCTCACTGCCCTGTCCCCCACAAGCCATGCAGGGCCCCAGCCTTGTACCACGTTGGAGTTGGTGCACAGCCGTCCCCGACGTTTGAGCTGGGAGGGAGGCTGGGCAGGGCTGACTGCTCCTCTTGCTACAGGCACCGAGACCCGCAAGAAGGAGCTGCCCCGGCAGCCAAACACTGACATTGAAGGTGACCTGACTGACTCTGCAGGCTCCCTACCCTGGGCCTCCTGGGBCCCCACTGCCTCTTGTGGGACTGCAGAGCTCTCTCTAGCCTGGACAGTCTGTGCTTTTGCCCTTTCCCTTTGGTTGGMTCCCCTTGCGTTTCTGAAGCTCCATTCACTCCTCCAAACATGGAGCCTTTGGAGATGCCCTGTGCTGTCCTGGAGGCTCCATATCCATCTTCAGCCCTGTCACATGGGAGATGCGGCTTGACCATTCACCACCTGTAGGAGCTCTGAGTACCCACCAAGGAGAACTGAATCCATGCATCATTTCTTAACACATCATCTATGAGACTTTTTCCTGGAGCCCCTGGAGAGCCCCAGAAGAGCAATACATTCTTTGAGGGTGAAAGTCCTTGAGCACATTATGAACCCCAGATTCGGTAAGATAGCAAACCTTCAAGCACTACCCTGATGAAATCCCTTTTTATTCAAGTGAAGCCAAAACTGATGCAGGGACACAAGGACAGATATTTAGAGCAGGTATGGCAATTACACAGACTGAGTACACAACTCTGGCAAAGTAGGATGAATTCAAACACTTACGTAAAATAATGATTATAAACACAGAGAGAATGCCTCCCTCTCCCCAAAAATAAATTATCTGAAATACATTAGAAAGTACTTGTTATGATGGGAATGGAGCTTATTTTTAGCACCAGCTAAACTAATTTCTTCAGTGAATTCTTGAGATCCTTGTTCCTCATGCTGTAGATGAGGGGGTTMASTGTTGGAGGCACCACTGAGTAAAGAACAGAGAGCACCAGATCCAGAGCTGGGGAAGARATGGAGGGAGGTTTCAGGTAGGCAAACATGGTGGTGCTGACAAAGAGGGAGACCACAGCCAGGTGTGGGAGGCACRTGGAAAAGGCTTTGTGGCGGCCCTGCTCAGAGGGCATCCTCAGCACAGCTCTGAAGATCTGCACATAGGACACCACAATGAAAAGGAAACATGCATACAATAAAGAAAAACTAAGCACAAGAAGTCCAACTTCCCTTAAGGAAGAATCTGAGCAGGAGAGCTTGAGGATCTGGGGGATCTCACAGAAGAACTGATCCACCTCATTGCCTTCACACAGTGGAATGGAAAATGTGTTCCCAGTGTGCAGGAGAGCATTGATGAAACCACTGGCCCAGGCWGCTGCTGCCATTTGGACACAAGCTCTGCTGCCCAGGAGGCTCCCATAGTGCAGGGATCTGCAGATGGCCACAAAGCGGTCATAGGCCATGACTGTGAGGAGAGAAAATTCTGCTGAACACAAGAATGTTACCAGGAAGACCTGGGCAGCACATCCAGAGTAAGAAATGGTCCTGGTGTCCCAGAGGGAATTGGTCATGGATTTGGGGACAGTGGTGGAGATGGAGCCAAGGTCCAGGAGGGAGAGGTTGAGGAGGAAGAAGTACATGGAGGTGTGGAGGTGGTGGTCGCAGGCTATGGCTGTGATGACGAGGCCATTGCCTATGAGGGCAGCCAGGTAGATGCCCAGGAAGAGTGAGAAGTGCAAGAGCTGCAGCTCCCGTGTGTCTGCGAATGTCAGGAGCAGGAACTCTTTGAAGGAGCTGTTGTTGGACATTTGTTCCCTTGGGGCACAGGAGTTCTGTCCAAGAAAGGAAAGAAAGTAAATGTTAGAGTGGGCTTATGTGGCCCCAGCCCTTTCAGTTTCTCAGGAACCCTGCGAAGCACTCACACTAGATTTGTCTGAAGGAGAAGAGCTTTATGTGGTCTTCGTCCCCATCAATCTTGCCTTCCTCAACGCTGATATTTCTATCTGAATCTGTCACACCAGATCCCACTGCAGAAAGGGAGAAAAACAGTCAAATGTAAATAAGGATTGACCTTACCCATTCCAGACATCTGGATGCCTAAAAGTAGACTTTCTCCTCATGTCATTTTACCGTTCTCTTATTCCAGACACGGCAGAGAGAAGGAGTAGCTTTGATGCACACAACCTGCAGGAGATGATGTCCACCCTTGTCAGGCAGGGCTCTCCAACATTTGGAAATAAAGTCTTCTGTGCAAGAGGATCAGTGGAGGAGTCTGTTGTTAAATAAAGGTGTTTATTAATATGATGGTGCACACATGAACACAAAAAGGTGCCTCCTCAATGTGGGAGCATTCTTTGATGGGACAGAAATCATTGGCATTTCAGTTGCTCTCAGCATGAACCCTTGTACATCCCAGCAGAAAATAAAGGACTTGCCATGACTTTGTAATGGGACCTGCTTCATCAATGAGCCTTGCCCCTCACTGTGCTGCCCTTGCACCTCACTCAGATGAAGGACAACCACCCTCACAACTCAKCTCTGTTCTCCCTGCAGAAACCTCCCATGAGCAGGGGACTGTCTGGTGGCTTTCCCATGTGTGCAGGTTCTAAGGAGCAGGTCAGATAAACCCTGATGCAGCAGCSCAGGAGAAGCTGGTGCTGTCCATGGAATAAGGGATGGGGGAGGGGACATTCAGAAGTCCYTAACAAATTCTCTGGCTGCTYCTTGAAACTCTTAACGAATCTCAGTCTGTTGCCCAAAGCTGAAAGTTCCATTTCCATTTCACTCTTACCAAGTGGAAGGAAATACTACGCACCACCTTCTTGGCTTCTCTTTCAGGCAATGCCTGTCTTGCCTTTCCTTTTGAAAAGTGCCCTCTGAAATGTGCTCACAGC